TTTTTTTTTTTGCTAACCTCTTTAATTTAATATATGTAATTAAGTAATATCTTATTAGCCTTAATATCTCCTATATTTCAATATATATATATATATATATATTACTTATTTTCATTTGGGTGCCTTAATTAAAGTTCTCCAAAGCCCAAGAGCCCCAAGGCCCAAGTCTTTGTTAATATAATTATTATTAATCAGCGCCAAATCCAAAGCCGAGCCTATAGCCAAGCTAATTTAATGACAAAAGCATCAAAGTAAGATTAACAGGTGAAAACACTTAAAAATAAAAACTATTTAAAAAAATACCCAAGTGTGCCCTCTCTGTGACTTGAACCCTAGACCCTGAAGTTAATAATTAAAACAAAAACCAGCCCATCTAATATTAAACATTTTAATATTGTTGCTCGTTTTATTTACTTGAACACCACTTTCCATACTATATTGCTACTGTAACACTGCTTTCCATCTAATATTAAACATTTTAAATGAGTCCGCCCCATCACTTCCTATCTCCTATGTTCAAAACTGAAGTTTAGTTTGCATGACATTAAGAAAATGTAAGGAAAACCTGTCTGTGTTGTTACATTGGAAGATGTAATCCAATTTTACAGCAGAAAACAGTGTTTTTAGGGGTCTGAAGGACTCAAGCCGCCTTCAGCGTCTTGGGACGTCCAAGATCTCGAAAAGATACATGAAATCAAAAAAAGCTTTGCCTCAAACGGATAGCCGAGCACAAAGTTATGACCTTTCAAAGTTTGAACTCGTTTTAACAGCAGCTTTAGGGAGGCAGTTCATCCACCAACCTGTCCTAAAAAATAATTCTTCTCCTGCCCAGTGTATAGATCCCGAAAAAACGTGTCAAAACGAGTGCTCGCATTGGCAAAATGGTTAATTGAGCTCCAAGTTATGGCCATCCAAGTGCTCAACGCACATTTCAGATAACTTTCTGCAGCACACAAGCTGAAGCAGTGGCAAGCGACGCGGCGGGGACCTCTGCGACTGAAAGCTCGGTCAAGACCGCCGAAGTAGCCCACACGAGACTTGGCACACCTACGACCGTGGCCCCGGTTACCTCCAGCTCGGTCACAACCGTCGAGTCCTGGGACACCGGCGCTGGGGGCACGATTGCCACAACCATGGACAGCGGCGGCGACGACTAGGGCGGTTGGAAGCAAAATTTCGGTCAGAAACATGTAGCGCAATTCTAAGTAACAAAAGCTAAGTATAATGAAAACAAAGAAACGCTTACCGAGCGGAACACGATGCCGCTTGGACGGCTGGGAGCGGACGACAATGGCTCAACAGGCACGGTAGCAGCCAAGGAAGGCACGACAGAGACAGCCGAAGGGACTTCCGCTGGGACGGTCCGCGTTGGTTCTACAACAATGATTTCATCGTCTGGCACGTCCGTAGCGGCCTCTTCGGCGGCTTCCTCAGCGGCCTCTTCGGCGGCCTCCTCAGCGGCCGGCACTTCTGCGAATGCAGTCTCGGCATCCAGCATCCCAACCACTTCCTCGGCAGTGGCCGCCTCCTTCGCGGCCCGCACCTCCTCGACCACCATCTCGGCAGCGGCCGCTTCCTCTACATACGGCACCTCGGCCGTAGCTTCCTCCTCGACCACTACGACGTCCTGAGGAAAGAACCATATTACCAAAGTGTATAAAGAGGGGAGGGGGTGACCTGGAAAGTAAAGAGGAGGGAAGAATTCGAGGAATACTCACGGCCACAGGAGGGGCTTCACTTACAATCACAGGAGGGACTTCCTCCTCATCCTCGCCCCCCGAGAAAACAAGGAGGGCCCTCTTTCTCGGCCATTCTCGCACCGCCATCTCAGCCACGGCACCCTGGGCCGGTGCCGCCTCAGCCGGAGCAGCCCCAGTACTTGGACCTTCTCGACCCCTCTTGCGACCCGGGGCTGCGTATACGAAGAAAAAAGGGCAAAAGAAGTTAGGAGTAAGATAAACGAATAAAAGGGTGGCTCAAGGAGGACGAAGGAAATAATAATAAATAAAGTAAGAGTGCTTACCAGCAACGGCACTCGGCCGAGCAGGAGGAGAGGACGGCACGGTCCTATGGGCCAAGGTCTTCCGCGCCCCCACCACGGCCGTTGCCCTGGGAGTTGGGGCCGCGGTCGAAGCCGCGACCGTTGCTCCAGCCGAAGGAGGAGCCGTCACCATAGGTACGGCCACGGCCGTGGTACTCGGTCGAGGAGGCCTGGCTGATCCTTTCTTTACTTTGCTGCCCTTGAAGGGGAGGGGGTCCCAATCTGCATTCTTCAGGGCCATCCTCGCGGCCTCTTCAACAGGCCGGATAAATCTGGCCGAGATGCACTCCTCGTACCAGACCCTTCCATCTTCGTCATACACGTTACGACGCAACCAAGGCGTCAGAGTCAGGAAGGTCATCCCCTTTTGGAGTTGGAAGAAGATGCCAGCTACGCCATGCTGCTGGGAAACATCGGCCCTCCAGGACGAGAGCTGGTTCGTTGACAGGGGGAAGTAGGGCCGTCTGAATCAGGCCGAATTGCCGCGCCACGAAGTTCGGCAGGTAAACCTCGGCCCCGGCCTTGGACAGGCCGCAGTGAAGATCGTGCGACACTAGGAAGGAGGCCCAAATCTCCTTCAAATCATTCTCCGTCTCGCCATCTGGAATGACGGAGAGGTCGTGGTGTTATGCCCGTTCTCTTGGCCAGGCCATAGAAAAATTTGTAGCAGAGGGCCGAGGTGTTATGCTTCCTGGGGGATCGGGTTCAAACACCAAACCAAAGCCTCCCACGGAGCAACTTATATTTTCCTGTAATGCACTTTCAATATTTTACTTGCTTTCCTAGGAGTAGTGTTAGTTTGTAAGGAAAATCCGTTCATCAATATATCATACGACCCTTGTTTTTCAAGGCGCCGGAGCACCATCCCTGTTATTCGCTCATTCACCCCATATATCATACGACCGTCGCTCACTGAGCGACGCGCCGGAGCACCGCCCAAAACCCACCATCAACATCACCACTAAACGGCCTTGTAGCTCAGGCCGTGAACCTAACAGCCGAGATTAGTTCCTCTCTCGGCTACAATCGTTTGATTAGAAGCTAAGTCCAAACAGGCACATCACTTAACCATTCTATCCACATCAAACATCTCGACGCACGGTAGACCGTGCTGGCACGCCCGCGCACAACCGCACCGCATCCAAAAGCAGAAAGCCGCGTGTCAACGCATATCCCCTCGGCCTGGAACTCCAGGCCGTGAGATTTGCGCCGTAGACAATTATTTGATCTATAAGACATGGAGAGTAGTTTCTCGTAGTAGCCGTAAACTTTCACGCATGGAGTAAGGATATCAATTTTCTTTTGTTAGGGTGTCGAGGCATTTTCTAAGGAGGATCATGATCGAACAAACAAACTTCTAGAACGAGTAAAGCTTACTTGCTGTTATGAAGTGGTTGGGGATGAATTATTTTCTTTAAGACAGATGAAATAGCATCATATGTGTATTTGGTTTGGGTTTGGGTTTGGGTTGCTGCACCTCAAGATAATACAGTATCCCCAAAGCTGCAGGATTTATGGGGACATTATAGAGTTCAGCAGCCATTTTCATTACCTTCTTTATTGTGCAGCATCTAAGTCTTGCTTATTCCATCAAGAATCTTGATCAGCCATCTTTGTGCTTTTGAAATGCCAGCCAGATGTGGTAATAAACCATGATGCACTCTCTAAACCATATGCCATGTGAAATGAATCCTACTGCTGCTATGTCAGCTATTTCAGTTAATTGTAAGTTTTTGGTAAATTTTTCTTTTCTTTCCTCTATGAAATTGAAGATGTGTAGTTATTGAAAATGTCTTATAATTTCTCCTATTTATAAAAATTAGGTCGGTTGCTGCATAGCCTACATATCTAGGTCATGGACAAAAATTCTTAGTCATTTATCTATGCTTTATGCATATGATTTTCATATGGGAACAAATTAGGATGTACTAATTCCACAAAAGGAGAAGAGACGCAATTCATGGATGGCATACACTACACAAGCACAATAATTTCGGTTGAGGAGATTAAACCATTCTCCCCTGCAATTGATGCTAATTTAAGATTTCCCTTAGCTTGTTAGAGATTGAAGTGCTACGTCTATTAAAAGAAAGAGAGAGAGAGAGAGAGAGAGAGAGAGAGAGAGAGAGATTGAAGTGCTACTTAGATGGAGGTTTTTATTTATTATGGAATTTATGCTGAAATTTTAATTTTCATATTAATAAAATGTTTGTTGTCTGCAGCTTATTGCTGATACAAATTACTTCTTGTCACATTTCTATCTGTTCCACCCTCGACCTGCTGCCTCAATGGACAAGCCCAAGAGTTTGGAAATGGTTGTATATTTGTGTTGGCAATGGCGTCGAGGCATTCCTGTTACGTTGTGTTATGCTTGTGTATAACTGCTTTGTGATACAAGTGGTTTATATAGAAGCTCCGTTGTGGTTTTGGGAGCTCGCTAGTCTCTACTTCTGGCTTTTGGCTTTAGGGATTGCTTCATCTGTTGAAATGTTTTTTCTTCCTGTTGCCAATTGCACGTGTTAGATCCCCAGCCACAGGCAGTGTATTTCAGCACTTCCCCTCCCCATCGCTGTATTTTTTTATATGAAAAATGCTCACTCAGGCTCAAGGATTGAAATATCGGCCGATACACCGATATATCGATATTTTCAACTGTCGACATCGATATTGGGGGTAAGGCCATATCTTCCCATCGATATATGCCCGATAAGTGCGATATCCCCGATATTTTGCCGATATCCCCGATATTTCCCGATACCCATAACATAACCCAAAAAAAATTCAGAATTTTTGAAGGCAATTAAAGCAAATTAGAACCCAAAAATAGCTAATCCTTGCCTAGAACCCTATAATTTATTAATATGAAGAAACCATGCACAGTCCACTACCCACATACCTCCAATCCATCTAAAGAGGACATGGCGATCGGTTTTGTATCTATGAGCATAGGAACTAGACCTAGTACTAACTCAAATGAATCTTATGATGGATACAGTTATGTCATGTCTGATTATAGTGGAACTAGTTATGGAGCTCAAGATGATGAAACAGATTATGGACCTACTAGTTTGGTTAATCCTAACTATCCCATTTATAGGAGGACATTAGGGAGCTCAAGAGAGACGTATGTGCACCATGTTCAACACATGGCTTACAAAGTTGTTCCTTATTGTTTGAACCTCATAGGAGCTCTTCATTTATGTAGATGGACACTTATCTGAATTGTAATCCAATGTTTAAACAAACTAAGGATTTATGCATGGTTTATTCATTCTAATCAACATTTTATTTTCAAACTTTTCATTAACGCGCATTACATACCACTTATATTTCATCATATGTATATCTTATTATTAGTAAATTTTGAGTTTTATTTGTTCAATACATTCATTGATAATGTAAATAACATCTATGAAAGTTTTACACCAAAATTATGTTCAATGCCTATAACTATCATTTTTGTTGATTTTTTCCCGATACCTAAAACGATAACGATATATCCCCTGAAATTTTCGTAAATTGGAGGCCCGATATTATCTGCACGGCCGATATTTTAATCATTGCTCAGGCTCCACCATCATCTCATTAAGCCTTTGACTATGTTACCGATGACAAAATAAACATTAATAACATGGGAGATTCACTATTATACCCAATGTAGGAGCACAAATATCTCAACAACCACTGGACGGGTTATTGATATACTGTTGATAACATTTAAAATCATTTGAAAATTCAATTAAACTCCATCAACTATATAACTCTTTTAAAATCATTTTAAATCTAAATTGCCCTCCTTAAAAAATATTCTAAAAGGTATTCATACTGCTACAAAAGTGGGATAAAGGCACGATCTAAAGATCACAAAATTAACAAAGTTCAGGTCTCTTTGAATTACATTGTGCACAAATATGCAGTATTTGTGTGATATGTAAAGAAGACACAATAATTTTGTGTCCAATGACAACAGAAAAAGCAAATAATTGTGCCTAAGCGATTTAAGCACAAATATTGTGGCCAAATATCATAGCATAGAGTTTGTCACTACACTTTTTGAATAGTTGAAGCTTTTTTAACCATGAAAAATATACTTTTGTGCATTTTTCTTACATATTGTACTAATAAAAAATTCTAACCATAAAACATTATTTGTGCCTTATACCAATAAAAAGCATGTTTCTTGTTACTCACACTATTATGGCTTAGTATTGGGCACGAAAATTGAATTTTGTGGCACTGCACACGTATGATAGTCTTTTTTTTTTTTTTTTTTTCATAATCAAAGTATGATAGTCTATACTCTATAGATAGAGCACGGATATTGAAATTGTGATCTTTTAAATGGCTATAGAGCACGAATGCTTTAAATTGTTTCCAAATACTGTAAATAAAGTAAAAAGTAATGATCGCTCTCTCTCTCTCTCTCTCACTGAAATACACAAGAAATGCGTAAGATGAAACTATTTTGGTGGAGCTGTAAGAATTTCGTTCATGTTGAATTGTAATTGAATATTTTGAATGCAATTATTTATCATATTCTTTTACGGATTGTTTTTTAATATATTCTGTGTTAGTTTTGTTAATTTAATTCTTTGAAGAATTAAATGATGAATAAGGGAGTCCAATTTGGAAGAATAGAGTAGAGAGTTGGAAGGATAAAAAGGATAAAAAGAGCAACAAGAAAAAGGGTGCACCTAAGGAGGAAAAAGTGGCTCAACTTCCCACTTGAGCAGCAGATGACAGAGAACCAGTAAAAAGATGCTATACAAGAAAGAAGATAAAGCCCTTTCAAAAATAATAATGATAGGATGCATGGCTAAACAAAAGTATTGGCGGCAAACGACATCAAAGAACACTTCTTTTTCTTTTTCTTTTTCTTTTTCTTTTATGGTATGCAGTCAATCTCATCCAACATAGGGATACATGGCCACATGTAAAAGTCAAATTAAATATTGCAAGCATGGTCTTAAATATCGATAATATCCCCGATATTATCCCGATAATATCTGATTTTTGGGGGTCCGATATTTTAACAACTAACCATATAGTTATCGTCAATATATCGATATTATCCCGATATTATCCCGATAATATCGGAAAGATATTTTCAACACTTTTATGAATGATTTGGTCAATATATCGAGATATTATCGATAATATCCCGATAATATCCCGATATGAAACTCAAAAAATGTAGAGAACTGAAGTAGCTCATTGAACTGATTTGGGCACTCTACGGAAAGCATGTCTCCTAGAGTAATACAAAAGTAGCTCATTGAGCTAATAAACAAAGCATGTCTAGCCGACAGAATGCTCACATGCTTTTACAAAATGGATAAAATATAAAACTTAGCTTTGGAT